TTTCAAAAAAAAAAAAAAAAAAAAAAAAAAAAAGTTTGGTAGGACGAGGTGGCTCACACCCGTAATCCCAGCACTTTGGGAGGCTGAGACAGGTGAATCATGATGTTAGGAGTTCAAGACCAGCCTCGCCAATATGCTGAAACTCTGTCTCTACTAAAAATACAAAAATTTGCTGGTCTTGGTGGCATGCACCTGTAATTCCAGCTACTTGGGATGCTGAGGTAGGAGAATCATTTGAAACCAGGTGGCAGAGGTTGCAATGAGCTGAGAGCATGCCACTGTACTCCAGCCTGGGTGACAGAGCAAGACTCCAGCTCAAAAAAAAAAAAAATATATTGACCATATCAAGTATTGGTGAGGATGTGGTACAACAGCAACTCTCATGCACTGCTGGGTATTAAATAATACAACCATTTCAGAAAATATTTTAGCAGTGTCCTAAAAATTTAAAATTCCTCTACCATATGATCCAGCAATTTCACTCCAAGAAAATGGAAGTGTAAGTCCAAATAAAGACTTGTGCAAGAACCGGGTGCGGTGGTGCGTGCCTATAGTCCCAGCTACTCGGGAGGCTGAGGTGGGAGGATCGCTTGAGCCCAAGGGTTCTAGGCTGTAGTGCGCTATGCTGATCGGGTGTCTGCATTAAGTTCAGCATCAATCTAGCGACCTCCCAGGAGTGGGGACCACCAGGTTGCCTAAGGAGGCATGAACCAGCCCAGGTAGGAAATGGAGCAGGTCAAAACTCCCGTGCTGATCAGCAGTGGGATCGTGCCTGTGAATAGCCACTGCATTCTAGCCTGGGCAACATAGCGAGACCCCGTCTCTTAAAAAAAAAAAAAAAAAAAAAGACTTGTACAAGAATGTTCATACCAGCTTTATTAATAATGGCCCCAAACTGTTAACAACCCAAATTCTATTAACAGGAGAATGGAAGCTGGGTGTAGTGTTGAACACTTGTATTCTCAGCTACTCAGAAAGCTGAGGCAGAAAGATCACTTGAACCTAGGAGTTCAAGACCAGCCTGGAAAATGTAGCAAGAACCCCTCTCTAAATAAACAACATCTTCTAAAATATTTATATTAGAAAAACAACAACTCCGGGTGCGATGGCTCACGCCTGTAATCCTAGAACTTTGGGAGGCCGACGGGGGCAGATCACAAGGTCAAGCGTTCGAGATCAGCCTGGCCAACATGGTGAAACCTCTTCTCTACTAAAAATACAAAAATTAGCTGGAGCGTGGTGGCGGGCACCTGTAATCTCAGCTACTTGGGAGGCTGAGGCAGGAGAATTGCTTGAATCCAGAAGGTGGAGGTTGAAGTGAGCCAAGATTGCACCACTGGACTCCAGTCTAGGTGACAGTGTGAGACTCGGTCTCAAAAAAAAAAAAAAAAAAAAATAGCTGGGCACTGTGGCTCACGCCTGTAATCCCAGCACTTTAGGAGGCCAAGGCAGGTGGATTAGGAGGTCAGGAGTTTGAGACAAGCCTGACCAACATGGTGAAACTAAAAATAGAAAAATTAGCTGGGTGTGGTGGCAGGCACCTGTAATCCCAGCTACTTGGGAGTCTGAGGCAGGAGAATCACTTGAACCTGGGAGACAGAGGTTGTAGTGAGCTGAGATCGTGCCACTGCACTCCAGCCTGGGAGACCAAGGACTGAGACTCTGTCTCCGAAATAAAAGTGTGTGGTTTAGGAATTGTCAATTATATCTCAATAAAGCTGTTAAAATTGTACTACAGCTGGGCGCGGTGGCTCAAGCCTGTAATCCCAGCACTTTGGGAGGCCGAGGCGGGTGGATCACGAGGTCAAGAGATCGAGACCATCCTGGTCAACATGGTGAAACCCCGTCTCTACTAAAAATACAAAAAAAAAATTAGCTGGGCATGGTGGCGCGTGCCTGTAATCCCAGCTACTCAGGAGGCTGAGGCAGGAGAATTGCCTGAACCCAGGAGACGGAGGTTGCGGTGAGCCGAGATCGCGCCATTGCACTCCAGCCTGGGTAACATGAGTGAAACTCCGTCTCAAAAAAAAAAAAAAAAAAAAAAAAATTGTACTACAATAAAACCATTGGGGGAAACTGGGTAAAGAGCACAAATAACCTCCCTGTACTATCGTGGTAACTTCCTGTGCAGTTATAATGACCCCAAAATAAAGATTTTTAAAAGGTTTTTATTTATTTATTTATTTATTTTATTGCATTTTAGGTTTTGGGGTACATGTGAAGAACATGCAAGATTGTTGCATAGGTACACACGTGGCAGGTTTTTATTTATTTTTATTTATTTTTTATTTTGAGACAGAGTCTTGCTCTGTTACTCGGGCTGGAGTGCAGTGGCACGATCTCAGCTCACTGCAACCTCCACCTCCCAGCTTCAAGTGATTCTCCTGCCTCAGCCTCCCAAGTAGCTGGGACCACCACGCCCGGCTAATTTTTTTTTTTTTTTTTTTTTTTTTTAGTAGAGACGGGGGTTTCACCATACTGGACAGGCTGGTCTTGAGCTTCTGACCTCGTGATCCGCCTACCTTGGCCTCCCAAAGTGCTGGGATTACAGGCGTGAGCCACCGCAACCCACCTCAAGGTTTTTAAAAATAAGCACATAAGGCCAGTCTTGGTTCAGGAGTTCGAGACCAGCCTGGCCAATATGGGGAGACCCTGTCTCTACAAAAACACAAAAATTAGCTGGGTGTGGTGGTGCGCACCTGTAATCCCAGCTACTCGAGAGGTTGAGAGAGGAGAATCACTTGAACCCGGGAGACGGAGGTTGCAGTGAGCTGAGATCATGCCACTGCACTCCAGCCTAGGCAACAGAGTGAGACTCTGCCTCCAAAAAAAAAGCATACATATTTATTTAAAAAATTGTATACATACTTGTCAAATTGCTTTGTGAAAGGTTGTATCAGTTTAACTCTTTTCATTTATTTTTGAGACAGGGTCTCACTCTGTCACCCAGACTGCAGTGCAGTAGTGGGCCTGAAATTCCTGTGCTCAAGCGATCCTCCCGTCTCAGTCTCTCAAACAGCTGGGACTACAGTCATGTGCCACTTATACTTAGCTAATATTTATATTTTTTTGTCAAAAAGGGAATCCCGAGTAGCTGGGATTACAGGCGCCTGCCACCGTTCCCAGCTAATTTTTGTATTTTTGGTAGAGACGGGGTTTCACCATGTTGGCCAGACTGGTCTCGAACTCCTGATCTCAAATGATCTGCCCGCCTCAGCCTCCCAAAGTGCTGGGATTACAGGCATGAGCCACCACTGACTGCCTAGCCTATTTTTCTTAAGATATCATTTGTGTTTTTTTCTGTCTTCCTAACATTTTAAAAGGTTGGCTGGTATTCTTTTCATCAAAAAAAAAAAAAAAAAATTTCGGCCTGGCACGGTGGTTCCTGCGGGTCCCGGCTATACAGGCCTCGAGGACTCAGCAGAAACCAAGACAAGCTGGGGGCCTGAACAGTTGAGCGGGGGACGCCGACACTCCTGTAACAATCATGCAGTAGTTAATTACGGGGAGGGGAGCGTGCAGGGAAGACAGGGTGACAGGTATGCTGCGTTAAGTAGACACCGAGTGCAGGCACACACAGTCTGCGCAGTCACCACGGGTTCTCACATTTGGCCTGCAGGGTTCGCGGTAGGGGGGCGGGGCGTAGTGTTCCCAGCCCGCGGCTACCACGCCCACCCCAACGGTTGCCCCGCCCACCCCAGCCCGCCGCGGCCGCCCAGAGCAGGTGGAAGCTAAGAGGCTAGGGAAGGCACGTGACCGGCGGGGCGGGTAGGGTCGGGGCCGGCGGGGCGGAACGCAGAGGCCTGTGGCTGTGTTTCCCGCCGGAGGCTTTTGCCCAGAGCCCCGCGTCCCAGGGGGGCGGTGGCGGCGGCGCAAGCGGCAGAGGCGCAGGCGGCGGAGGCGGCTGGGGGTCCGGAAGTCAACACCATGTCGAGTCTGCACAAGAGCCGGTAAGGGGCCAAGGGACCAGGGTGCCTCTTGTGCCAGAAGGGGGAAGCGCGCGGTGTGGCCAGGAATTGGCAGAACCCCCCCGGCAAAGGGTCTCCGGCGTCCACCTAACCTCATTGCCTGTGGGCTGCAGGAAGGACCGAGCGGCGGCCCCTCTCCTGCCCCTGGTGTCACTCCTGCCTCCCTCACCCTGGACCCCTGGCTTCCCCCTTCCCCTGAGTCTTCCTTATCCAGACCCCCATGCCCCGCCCCCGTCCCTTTTCCCCTTTTTAACCTCCTGCTCCAGTACTCTCTTCAAGTACACTCTGTCCCCCGTGCCTTTTTCTTACCAGGATTGCTAGAGAACTTGCATTTTCCAGTCTGTCCCCTCCCCTAGGCCAGATCCTGCAGCATTGGCTGAATTTTGCTCACTCTTCAGTTTTCCTCCAGGTCGTGTTTTTTAAACCCTTTGTCCTTTGCTTCTGGCAGGCCCAGATGTCTTGTAATGGTTATATTTGTGACCATGGAGAGCTGTGTTCACCTTGCACTGGTCCATTGTCTGCAGATCAAATTACTCTTGGTTCTTGAGGTCCAAGGAGTTCAGATGGTGGCTGTGCTGTGGACCTGGCCTGGCTGGCAGGAAGTGCCCAGTAAATGTCAGCTCACTAAATAGTAGAATGTTGGAATGTGTCAAATTTTATGGTCCTCATTTGGGAACTTCTAGACGAATATCTTTCAAGTTTCTTCTCTGGCATTCAGTGTTTCTGGGTGTAGAGGAAGAAGTGAAATATGGTTCTGTTGTTCCCCAAAGCGTTTTGGTGAGGACCTTGACTAAGCTGTGTGATTTTTATGTCCTAAAGGGGAGAGAGGCACAGGTTGGAAACCGGTGGTCTGAGGGAGCTGAGGGCTGTGGATCTCACTGGGCAGATATAAGCCGAGCTTCATGTGCCTTCCTATCTCCTCTTCTAGAATTGCAGATTTCCAGGATGTCCTGAAGGAGCCATCAATTGCATTGGAAAAGCTGCGGGAACTCAGCTTTAGTGGTAAGAGGCCGTTCTGTATTTTCAAGGTTTCCCTAGAGCAGCCCTGTGGCTAGGGGGAGGTGCCCAAAGCCACACCTGGTCAGCTCTGGGGCCCAGCTGCTGGGGGCTGGGGCCATGGAAGGAAATTGCATGTAGAATCTTGGGGCCTTCTCCAGATTCTGTAGAGCTGAACAAGCCACTGCCTTGAGCTTGGAGGGGTTTCCCAGAGGGGCGGTGGCCACACCTAGCTTGCCTTGCCCTTAGGTCTTCCACAGGAGGTGTCAGATTCCTGAGAGTAGACAGGACTCAAGACTGGAGAATGGAGCATGAGAGTGGGGGTGGGAGGGTGAGGGGTGAACCTTTGGAGCCCAGGACCGTCTTTCCTTATTCCTTAGCCAGCTTCCTGTGTTGGGGAGTTTGGTTAACTGCAGGTGGTTCCTGGTTCTCTCCCTGGCTTGGGGTCTAAGCTGATTAAAGCAGCAGTAAACTTTGGTTAGTGGTGAAATGTTAACCTTGGGACACTGAATTTAAGGAGCTGATTCTTAGCAGTGTTAGACTTTGCTCCAACCAGCACAGAGGTAACTCTCTTTTTTCAAAAATGTCCCAAAGTGTTCTGTGTAGCTTCTTGACACTTTTTTGCCCCTGTAAATTTGCCAGCAAGAACTTCTGGCTAGGCGTGTTGGCTCACACCTGTAATACCAGCACTTTGGGAGGCTGAGGCATGTAGATCACCTGAGGTCAGGAGTTTGAGAACAGCCTGGCCAACATGGTGAAACCCAGTCCCTACGAAAAATTCAAAAATGTAGCTAGGCATGGTGGCACTCGCCTGTAATCCCAGCTACTTGGGAGGCCAAGGTAGGAGAATCATTGGAACCAGGAAGGCGGAGGTTGCAGTGAACAGAGATCAGGCCACTGCAATCCAGCCTGGGCAACAGAGCAAGACTGTCTCAAAACAAAAACAAACAAAAAAAATGAATTAGCATCCAGTCTAGGCCAGGCCTGGTGGCTCACACCTGTAATCCTAGCACTGTGGGAGACCAAGATGGCCAGATCACCTGAGGTCAGGAGTTCAAGCTGAGCCTGGCCAACATGGTGAAACCTCATCTCTGCTAAAAATACAAAAATTAGCTGGGCGTAGTGGCCTGGTGCATGCCTGTAATCCCAGATACCTGGGAGGCTGAGGCAGTAGAATCACTGAAACCCAGAGACAGAGGCTGCAGTGAGCCGAGATTACGCCATTGCACTCCAGCCTGGGTGACAGAGTGAGACTCTGTCTCAAAAACAAAACAAAAACTATCCAGTTTAGTACTCTTTCTGTGGTAAATGATTCTTGAGGAAGTACTTTTTGCCCACTCTACTTCTCGCCAGCTGGCTCCACGGTGAAGGGCTGGGGGTTCTGGGACCCTGGCCTGGGGCGTGACCTTTGCCTGCTGTGTCCACAGGCATCCCCTGTGAGGGCGGACTGCGGTGCCTCTGCTGGAAGGTGGGTGTGCCTGGGGTGGGGCTTCTGCTCTGCTGAGAGTCTCTGGGTTTTCCCGCATGGGCTACCCCCACCCCGGCCCCTTTCTGTTCTACACCTTTCCTTGCTTGTCTGAGGGAGCTTTTCTGGGAATTTCTGGATTTTCTGTTCCTTTTGGTGTCCTCTCTGGGATCCCCTTGGGGATGGGACACTTTGTAATGCCAACAATGAAGGCCTCTGCTTCTTGGTCCATGAAGTACAGCAAAAGTTATGCTTGCTGGGACAAAGGAAAGGCTGTGCTTTGCCCAAAGCTCCTAGCTCCGGTGGCCCTGGAGGCCCAGCGTCTTGGTTTCCAGCCCTTTTGAGCACAGGGTCTGATGATCATGTGGAAGAGTCTGTGTGAGGAAAAGCAGTGGGGAGGAAGGGGGAGGCCACCCCTAGCTCATGCTGGCATTCCTGGGTTTCAGCCCATCTTGTCTTTCTTGGGACTTTATGAGATGTTTTTCTTGAGGCCTGTCAGCCCCACTTAAAGTCCAGCGTTGGTGCAGGAGGGTCACCAGAGCTTTGCCTGTCTCCCTCTGTTCAGATTCTCTTGAACTACCTTCCCTTGGAGAGAGCCTCATGGACCTCTATCCTGGCTAAGCAGAGGTGAGACCCCCGTGAAAGGGCGGTGACAAGAGGGCCCTTGCATCTGACGTAGCCCATGCTGCTGGGGCCGTCCTGCCTCCTGCGGCTGCTGCTCTGGTCTGGGCTTCCTGAGCAGGACTGTCAGGATTCATCCTTCTTGCTTGTCTCCTGCAGGGAGCTGTATGCCCAGTTCCTGAGGGAAATGATCATCCAGCCTGGCATTGCCAAGGCCAACATGGGTGTGTCCAGGGAGGATGTGACTTTTGAGGACCATGTGAGTAGGGGTTGGCAGCAGAGACCTGGGATACAGAATGTGGAGGGGTTGTCGCCTTGGAGCAGGCAAGGTCCCCTGTGTGCCAGGGGAGAGGTGCATCAGGTGTCGGTCCCCTCTGGAACTCCCAGTTCCTCCTTTCTGCCTTAGGTCACTAAGCTTGGGGGGCCCTGGGCTCAGTAAGACAAATGATAGCCAGCATCCAGGGAGCGTTGTGGGGGCAGCCCTGCGTCAGGTGCTCTGAGGTCATGGTCTCTTTCAACCCTCATCCCTGTTCCTTGAAGAAATTTGGAGCAGGGCAGGAAGGAGGCTAGGCTGCCCTCTGTGGCTGCAAGGAAGCCTTATTCTCTCCTCAAATGCTGAGCTCCTTCCTGGGCTTCACAGCGTGGGAGAAAGAAATGGATGGGCCCCAGGCCCAGACTCAGAGATAGGAATTGATGACTCAGAACATTGACGAATGAGAGCTGAAGAAACCTAATGATAGAACATTCATTCATTCAGCAAGCAAACATTTGCTGAGCACCTGTTATATGCAAAGTTCTCAAGCTAGAGCAATGGATGGAAAAGGATCAGAGTCCCTGCCCAGCAGGGATGTACTCAGAGCAGGCTGCCTGGCTGGGCTCCTGGCTGTGGAGTTTCAACGGGACTCAGGAGGCTGTGGGAAGGCCTGTGCTGGCTCCTCTGAATAGCTTGCAGGTGGTATCAGGGCCACACCTCAGTGTGTGGTGGGATTGTTGCAGAAGACCACTGCTCAGGTCTCCAGGATAGCATCCAGCCCCGGGGCCTACCTGGGCCTTGGACCAAGCATCTTCATTTCTCTCCACAGCCACTCAACCCCAACCCTGACAGTCGGTGGAACACGTACTTCAAGGACAATGAGGTGCTACTGCAGATCGACAAAGATGTCCGGTAGGCAGGGCGCCTGGGGCTGGGAGCTGGTTCATGGGACTTCTGGGGGTTTCTGCAGCTCTGTCTTTTCCTTTGGCAGGCTGGGCCCACGGGTGGGTATTGGCAGAGCTGCTGGTGAATTGTCCCAGAGGTTGGGCCCAGGCCCTATTGATGATAGGCTGAGAATGAGGCTGGCGAGGGAGAGTCTGTGCTTGCATGTGCCTGGTGGTCCTTAGCTGTAGTTTCATTTGTACCCCAGGCACATATGGATTCATCTGACATTTATTCAACAAGTATTGATCCCCTCCTGTATGCCAGGCTTAGCACTAAGCTAAGCACTGAGTAGACTGGTATGTTCCTTCTCCTTAAGAATCTGAGAACATAGAAGGGAAGATGGCAAGGCAGACATTCAGCCCATTAGATCTTAGCGCATGGCGTTCGTGGTAAATACTCTTGAAGGAAAAGGTGAGGGGGTTTGGGGAAACCTCAGCTGAGAAGCAGTGATTCAGCTTCTGAATCAGAAGGGGAAGAGTGCAGCAAAGGCCGCACTGGTCAGGGAAGTGCCCTTGGCAAGGCCCAGAGCTCACAGAGCTTGCCGCATTTGAGGAACAATGCCAAGGCTAGGGTGGGAGATAGGGGCCGGACCTGGGACTTGATTCTAAGAGCATGAAGCAGCCATGCAAAGGTTTTGAGCAAAGGAGTGACAAGATCAGATACACAGGTTTTAAAACTGAGCTGCAATGTGTGCCTGCTTTCCACTTGGTAAAGAAATGTGGAGATGCTGGCTCTGTGGCCCTGTCGGGCTGGGAAATCTGGCAGTGTGCAGGGCTAGGTGAAGGAACTAGGAGGCAAGCCTTGTCCACAGGTTGGTGGAGTGGCCAAGGGCTTGGGTTTTGGAGTTCATTTACCTGGTTTTCCGTTCCACCTTTACCAGTTGTTAGCTGTGTGACCTTGGGCAAGTGACTCACACCCTCTGATCATTACTCGCTTTATCTGTGAAGTAGGAGTAATGTGGTTCAGGGTAAGGTCACAGAACGGGCTGGGTCTCCACAGATACATGGGACTGTTGTGCTGGTCTCAGCACATGCAGAACACGTAGAACGATCAGATCTCCATCACAGAAAGGTCCTGGGAACTTATCCTGTTCCTTTTACCACAGCCTGCCTGGCACCCCTGGTGCTTGGCCACACAGGACAAGCCGGCACTTTGTCCCACACAGTGACCCTTCAGAATCTCCAACAGGCAGCTCTCAGGTGCCCAAGTCAGTTTGCACCAGCACAGGTGCCCCTCCATTCAGCTCCTTCTCAAGGAATGGCCGAGTGCCTGTCAGGAGGGTTTTAGGAGTGAGCAGGATGGAAACAGTCTCTGCCCTCCAAGAGCTTCCAGTGTCAGTCAGGGGACATATATCAAACCTGGACACAGATATGTGATTGCAAATACTGTCATTGCTGTGAAGGAGAGAAAAACTGTGCTTTTAGAAAATTAGAGGGAGGCCTTGTTTTCCTTTGGGGGTATCAAGGAAAGCCTTTCCAGGGAGGGGGCTCAGCATGAGATGTGAAAAAGGAGGCGACGGCAGGGAGGCAGCGAGCTGAGTAGAGTCTGCTGGGCTGCGACAAAGCACACAAGAGTGCCCTGTGGCAGGGGAAGAAGGAGGCGCGTGCAGGGTAGAGTTGGGAGCAGGGTCCTTCTCGCCGTTGACACCCTGGGTGTTGCTCCTTGGCCCAGGCTCATCTTCAGGTGGCCCCAGGTAGCCCCTGCACAGGGCAACTTAGGCTGCAGGAGAAAGCGGAGATTGCCTCTTGTGCCCTCCGGCTGGGGTTGGTGCAGCATTTACCCCCACAAGGTCTTCTGATGGCTGTGTTCAAATCAAGAGCCACGCCGTGACCTGGGGAAATAGGTTTTTTTTGTTTGTTTGTTTAGTTTTGAGTACAGTGGTGTGATCTCGGCTCACTGCAATGTCTGCCTTCCGGGTTGAAACCATTCTCCTGTCTCAGCCTCCCTAGTAGCTGGGATTACAGGCATGTGCCACGACATCTAATTTTTGTATTTTTTAGTAGAGACGGGGTTTCACAAGTTGCCCAGGCTGGTCTCGAACTCCTGACCTCAAATGATCCACCTGCCTCAGCCTTCCAAAGTGCTAGGATTACAGGCATAAGCCGCCATGCCTGGCCAGGTTCTGTTTTACATTAATAGTGATGGTTCGCTTGTCCTTTGGTGCTTCTAGAGGCAGGTTTGCAATATGCTAAGTATAAGAGGTCTGAATAATGTCCATGTACTGCAATAGATACATTTTTAAAACTTGATAACATTTTAGATACTATCTCTCCCAACTTGTTTTCCCTCTCTGTCTTTTTTTTTTTTTCTCATTCTGTCTTGAACATCTTTCCAGGTCAGCTGTATAATATTCTTTTGTACAGTGTGTACTTTATGGAACCAAACCTCTTTTGCTTCTACAAACCACACTGTGTTTGTGCATGTTAGATAATTTTTTTTCTTTTTTTTTTTGAAGTAGGGTCTTGCTCTGTTGCCCAGGCTGGACTGGAGTACGTCGGCTGGATCTCAGCTCACTATAGCCTTGAACTCCCAGGCTCGAGTGATCCTTCCACCTCAGCCTCCCGAGTAGCCAGGACTGCAGGCACATGCCACCACACCCAGCAAATTTTTTCTAGAGATGGGGTCTCCTTATGTTGCCCAGGCTGGTCTTGAACTCCTGGGCTCAAGTGATCTTCCTGCCTTAGCCTCCCAAAGTGCTGGTATTACAATCGTGAGCCACTGTGCCTGGCCTAGATAAATATTTTTACATGGAAGGATGTTTGGAGTTTAAAAGAGGAGTTAGGTTGTATGACCATAAAGATACTTTTTTAAAAAAAGTATGTATCTATTTGCAAATATGCATAAAATGTGGGTATGTATACATACATATACAGTGACTACTACTTTTTTTTTTTTTTTTGAGACGGAGTTTTGCTCTTGTTGCCCAGTCCGGAGTACAATGGTGTGATCTCAGTTCACCGCAACCTCCGCCTCCTGGGCTCAAGCGATTCTCCTGCCTCAGTCTGCTGAGTAGCTGGGATTACAGGCATGTGCCACCATGCCCAGCTAATTTTGTATTTTTAGTAGAGACGGGATTTCTCCATGTTGGTCAGGCTGGTCTTGAACTCCCAACCTCAGGTGATCCACCCACCTTGGCCTCCCAAAGTGTTGGGATTTTGGGTATGAGCCACTGTGCCCAGCCAATTTTTGTATTATTTAATAGAGACGGGGTTTACCATGTTGGCTGGGCTGGTCTCGAACTCCTGATGTCAGGTGATTCAAAATATTGTAATTAAAAACAAACGATGCAGCCAGGTGCCGTGGCTCACACCTGTGATCCCAGCACTTTGTGGGGCTAAGGCAGGTTGATCACAAGATCAGGAGATCAGGACCATTGTGGCCACCATGATGAAACCTCGTCTCTACTAAAAATAAAAAAATTAGCTGGGCGTGCCGACACATGCCTATAATCACACCTATTTGGGAGGCTGAGGCAGGAGAATCGCTTAAACCATAGGTTGACAGATGAAATATCTGTCGTAGGTTGCAGTGAGCCAAGATTGTGCTACTGTACTCCAGCAGCCCGGTGACAGAGTGAGACTCAGTCTCAAAAAAAAAAAAAAAAAAAAAAAAAATGCTTTTGGGGATTCTTGGGGTCTCTTGGCAGCAGGGTGCTGATGGAATGGCCAAAACCTCCACCCTGAGTAACATGATTCTTTCCTATTTCCTCTTGACAGGAGGTTGTGCCCAGACATTTCCTTCTTCCAGAGGGCCACTGAGTACCCTTGTCTCCTCATCCTGGACCCCCAGAATGAGTTTGAAACCCTTCGTAAGCGAGTGGAACAGACAACACTGAAATCTCAGACAGTGGCCCGGAACCGGAGTGGGGTCACAAATGTGAGCACCAACCTGGGGTCCCCAGGACTCCTCCAATAGTCTTTTATTTCGTTTTTCTCTTAAACTCCTGGCCGCAAGGCGTGGGCCCATGACCATCTGCCTGACAGTTACCCAGAGCAACCCTGATGCTGCCAGATCCTGGGGTGCTCTCTGAAAGTTGGGTGGCAGCGAATTGCTGTGTCCAGTTGGGTGTAATGGCTGCTGGGGAGGGCTCTGCATCCCAGTGGGTAAATGAGCCAGGCTTCTAGTCTTACAGTGGGGATGGCTCTGAGAAAGTCACTACAAAGTGAGAAAGTGTGACAGGGCTGGGTGCGGTGGCTCATGCTGTAATCCCAGCACTTTGGGAGGCTGAGGCAAAAGGATTACTTGAGCCCAGGAGTTCAAGACCAGCCTGGGCAATGTGGTGAAACCCTATCTCTACAAAAAATACAAAAATCAGCTGGGCATGATGGCATGTGCCTGTAATATCAGCTACTCCGGAGGCTGAGGCAGGAGAATCACTTGAACCTGGGAGACAGGTTGCAGTGAGCCAAGGTCGTGCCACTGGGTGACAGAGTGATACTCTGTCTCAAAAAAAAAAAAAAAAAAAAAAAATTGGCGGGGCATGGTGGCTCACGTTTACAATCCCAGCACTTTGGAGGGCCAAGGGGGGCAGATTACCTGAGGTCAGGAGTTCAAGACCAGCCTGGCCAACATGGCGAAACCTCATCTCTACTAAAAATACAAAATTAGCTGGGTGTGGTGGCGGGCGCCTGTCATCCCAGCTACTCAGGAGGCTGAGACAGGAAAATCACTTGAACCCGGGAGACAGAGGTTGCAGTGAGTCCAGATCACACCACTGCACTCCACCCTGGGCAACAGAGCAAGACCCTGTCACCCTGTCTCAAAAACAAAAAACAAGAAGAGGGCATTCCAGGTGGAGAGGAGGGCGTATGCTAAAGTCCTCAGCGGGAGAGAATGTGGTGTGTTCTTGGTCGGGAAGGCCATGGTGGCTAGAAGCAGAGAGTGAGGGAAGAGGTTGGTGCTGGTGAGGCCATGTGGGGCCTTTGTCCTGAGGGGCGGGGAGATACCTTTATAGCAACGTAAGCACGGCAGCGATGTGATTCATATCTGCTGGTGTCAGCGTTAGTCACTGTGGAGATACAGGAGTGGCAGTAGAGAGGCTACCTGGGAGGCCACTGCAGTTGTCTAGGCAAGAGGTGGTGGGGGCAGGGATGCAGCAGGGCTGGATCTTAGAGACTCAGGGTGGAACTGATAGGACCCCCAACCTTTTTTTTTTTTTTTTTTTTTTGAGACAGAGCGAACTCAGCTCACTGCAACCTCCGCCTCCCAGGTTCAAGGAATTCTCCTGCTTCAGCCTCCCAAGTAGCTGGGACTACAGGTGCATACCATCATGCCCAGCTAATTTTGTATTTTTAGTAGAGACGGTTTCACCATGATTGTCAGGATGGTCTCGATCTCTTAACCTTATGATGCACTTTTGGGCCTCCCAAAGTGCTGGGATTACAGGTGTGAGCCACTGCGCCTGGCCAGGATCCCCCAACTTTTAATAGATTGCTGTCACTCCGCAAAGCTGCTTGTAGTCAAACAAGTTTATTACCTTATTCCTTAATTTACGCCCCTACTTCGGTACCTGGAATAGTGGCTTGTTCGCCTAAACTTTTCACTGTCCTCCATCAATGGAAAAACCTTTCTGTGTAGCCTCCAACAAGCTAGGGCAGATCCTACTGCAGAAGTTTTTCTCACCCTGGGGAATGACTTTGTTTGTTTGTTTGTTTGTTTTATCTTTTGTTTTTTAAAGACGGGGTTTCACCATGTTGGCCAGGCTGATCTTGAACTCCTGACCTTGTGATCTGCCCGCCTTGGCCTCCCAAAGTGCTGGGATTATAGGCATGAGTCACTGCACCCGGCTCGTTTTATTTTTTTAAAGAGAGACAGAGTCTTGCTGTGTCACCCAGTCTGGTCTTGAACTCCTGAGCTCAAGCGATCCTCCTACCTGGCCCTCCCAGAGTGCTGGGATAACAGGCATGAGCTACCACACCCAGCTAAGAATGACTTTGAAGCTCCGACAGGGTGGCAGGGGCAGATATAACCGATCCCAGGGTTGCATGTGCCTGTGAGGGTTTGGTGTCCGGCAGAACTGCTGTGCAGTGCAGATTGTGTGGCTACATAACCATGTGGCTGGCTTTGTGGGCAGCATTCTTGGCTGTTGATTTCCTGGCTGAAGGGCTTGGTGGGGACTGGCTCCTGTCATTCCTTTCACTGTGGTAACTGGGTGTAAGGAGCACTGTTACCTAGTTTAACGTTTGGTCCTGGTAGCAGAGAACCCACCAGAAACTTTATCCCTAAGCCCCTGGGTTTATGGCTGGGCAGTATGAGTTAAAGTTGACCGTCCGTGTGACTCTGGACAAGTCATACCAGGCCCACATCCTGGCCTTTGTTTCCTTGACCATAAACTGGGATAATCATTTCTGCCCTGCCTGAGTTGCCAAGAGGATGAAATGAGGTCCTGGCTGTGCAGATTCTTAGAAAGCAGGAAGCCCTGGGCAACCTCGGGAGGCAGCCTTGCCTCAAGTCCTGGCCCTTAGTTTTGGGAGTCAGCCAGTTCAGGTTCAAGTCCTAAAGCCACCACCTAATGGTAGACATTTAAGGAGTGGCTCGACATTTCTGAGCCTCAGTTTCCTCAGATTTGGAGAGAATATTTTAGATCGTTGTGGATTAAATGGAGGAATACTTGTACAGCACTGTCGGCTACATAGAAAGCTCTTGGTACATGTTACTGATGTGTGATTCTGTGTGAACATGCGTGCATGTGTATGTATACATGTGTACGCACATGTTATGGGAGAGAGAGTTTAATGTCTCCAGGAGCCTATGCTTCCAGGGTGGCCTCATCCACTGTCACTGCCTGGGTTCTCTCATACGGGTCACTCACCTGTGGAGCTTCTGACTGAGCAGGTCTCGGGCAGGGCCCAGGCACTTGAATCTTTACAAAGTTCCCAAGGGATCCTGACAGGCAGCTGGAGTCTTCATCAAGGATTGTTCTCTCTTTAACTTCCAACTTTTTATTTTTTTTTTGAGATAGTCTTACTCTGTCGCCTAGGCTAGAGTACAGTGGCACAATCTTGATTCTCTACAACCTCTGCCTCCTGGGGTCAAGCACTTCTCATGCCTTAGCCTCCTGAGTATTAGCCGGGATCATAGGCGTGTGCCACCAGGCCTGGCTAATTTTTGTATTTTTAGTAGAGATTTTTGGCCAGGCTGGTCTCGAACTCCTGACCTCAAGTGATCCGCCCACCTCAGTTTTCCAAAGTGCTGGAATTACAGGTGTGAGCCACTTTGCCTGGCCTCCAGCCTTTCTTATGAACATATTCAAACATTCAGAAAAGTTGAAAGAAGAGTACACTGTGTAACTATCTGCATACTTTACATCTAAATGTTACAATTACTAACATTTTTCACATTGCCTTATTTGTGTGTATTATATAGAGAGAGTAAGTTGCTGATGTCTGACCTTTCACCACCAACTACTTCAGCAGGATCTCCTGAGAATAAGGGCATTCTCACCGGGCATGGTGGCTCACACCTGTAATCCCAGCACTTTGGGAGGCTGAAGTGGGCGGATTACCTGAGGTCAGGATTTCGAGACCAGCCTGACTAACATGGTGAAACCCCATCTCTACTAAAAATACCCAAGATAAAAAAAATCCGGGCTTGGTGGTGAGCACCTGTAATATCAGGTGCTCGGGAGGCTAAGGCAGGAGAACTGCTTCAGCCCGGGAGCCAGAGGTTGTAGTGAGCCGAGATTGTGCCACTGCACTCCAACCTGGTCGACAGAGCAAGACTTCATTGGGGGTGGGGTAGGGGGGATTATTGGCCAGTTGTCTGCAGTTATCTGTTTCTTTACATATTTAAGGTTTTTGTTTTAAATTGAAGTGTAACTTACGTGCAGTTATGTATACGATTAGTTATTTTTTTTTCTTGTGTGTGTACCTGTGTAAATGCCAGTCAGTCATGATACAGAACATTTCCACATCCAGAAAGTTCCTGGATGCCCCTTCTTAGGTAGTACTCCTCACTGTTCTGACTTTATTTTATTTTATTTTATTTTTTATTTTTTTTTTTGAGACAGAGTTTCACTCTTGTTACCCAGGCTGGAGTGTAATGGCGCGATCTCGGCTCACCGCAACCTCCGCCTCCCGGGTTCAGACAATTCTCCTGCCTCAACCTCCTCAGTAGCTGGGATTACAGGCACGCGCCACCATACCCAGTTAATGTTTTGTATTTTTAGTAGAGACGGGGTTTCACCATGTTGACCAGGATGGTTGTCGATCTCTTGACCTCGTGATCCACCCGCCTCTGCCTCCCAAAGTGCTGGGATTACAGGCTTGAGCCACCGCGCCTGGCCTACTGTTCTGACTTTAATCACCATAAGTTAGGTTTTAGGATGGTTGTCTTGTAGAATGTTCCATGTTCTAGGTTTTGTCTCCTTGTTTACTTATGGTGGCGTTTGACTTGTTCCTCTGGCTGGCATATGTCCCATATGCTAGATCGGGCTGGGTTTAACAGTAAACATTTACATTTCTGGCAAGAACACATTTTCTTCCTTCACATTGTCCTGTGTGTGTGTGTGTGTGTGTGTGTGTGTGTGTGTGCGCGCGCGCGCGCGTGAGAGAGAGAGACAGTGTCTTTTTTTTTTTGTTTTTTTTTTTTAAATAGATGGGGTTTCACCATGTTGGTCAGGCTGGTCTTGAACTCCTGACCTCAGGTGATCTGCCCGCCTTGGCCTCCAAAGTGCTTGGATTACAGGCGTGAGCCACCACGCCTGGCCGTGACAGTATCTTGCTGTCACCCAGGTTGGAGTGCAGTGGTGTGATCATAGCTCACTGTAGCCTCAGCCTCCTGGGCTCAAGTGATCCTCTTGCTCTCGCCTCCCAAGTAGCCGGGACCACGGGTGCTTGCCATCACACTCGGCTAATATTTGAATTTTTTGTAGAGATGAATCTCCCTATGTTGTCCAGGCTGGTCTCAAACTCTAAGGCTCAAGTGATCCTCCTGCCTTGGCCTCCCAAAGTGCTGTGATTACAGGCATGAGCTATTGTGGCTGGCCCGTGTTGTCTCTTTCTTTTTTTTTTTCCTTTTGAGACAGAGTCTTGCTCTGTCGTCCAGGCTGGAGTGCAGTGGCACAATCTTGGCTCACTGCAACCTCCGCCTCCAGGATTCAAGCGATTCTTCTGCCTAAGCCTCCCAAGTAGCTGGGATTACAGGTGCCTGCCCCTGTGCCCGGCTGATTTTTGTATTTTTAGTAGAAATGGGTTTCACCATGTTGGATAGGCTGGTCTCGAACTCCTGACCTTGTGATCCACCTGCTTCAGCCTCCCAAAGTGCTGGGATTATAGGTGTAAACCACAGTACCCAGCCTCTTTTTTTTTTTTTCCCCTTGAGACAGGGTCTTGCTCTGTTACCCAGGCTGGAATGCAATGGTGTCATCATGGCTCACTGCAGCCATGACCACCTGGGTTCAACTGATCCTCCCACCTCAGCTTCCCAAAGCGCTGGGATTGCAGGCATGAGCCACCGAACCCTGCCCACATTGTCCTTCTTGACTAGCTCCTCCTCTTCTCCCCTAGATGAGCTCCCCACACAAGAACTCTGCGCCATCATCCCTAAATGAGTATGAGGTGCTGCCCAATGGCTGTGAGGCCCACTGGGAGGTGGTGGAGCGAATCCTTTTCATCTATGCCAAGCTCAACCCTGGCATCGCTTACGTGCAAGGCATGAATGAGATCGTGGGGCCCCTCTACTACACCTTCGCCACCGACCCCAACAGCGAGTGGAAAGGTAAGAAGGCTTTTGGTGCCCACATCCCTTGTTGCTGGCCCGTGTCAGGCCGTGCAGCTCACTTTCCCTCTTGGGCCTTCATTCTCCTTTTCCCAGATGAGGGGTTGGCCTGGATCGTCTCTGAGATCCTTTGCAACTGTGATCTTCTAGAAAGTTAGATGTTTACTGATCTCTTGATATTTGTAATTTAATTTCTCATAGAGAAGGTGGATATGTAGGAAGCCGAATTAGAAGATGTAAATAATGATTTTCAAATTGTCATCAGGGGAGTGTGTAATAAACTGCTCAGTGAATGTAAGTGTTGCCAGATATGAGAAGAAAGAGGTGATGTCTTTAGCCTGGGGGTGGAGAAGGGTCAAGGACAGAGGAAGGACTGAGCCAGACTTTGAGGATAGGGCAACTGGGCGGGGCAGTTGTCTGGTAGGTGAGAGGTGGGGTGGGCCTGGGGTGCGCCACTTCTGCCCCCATCCTGCGTCTCTCCCCAGAGCATGCTGAAGCAGACACCTTTTTCTGCTTCACCAACCTCATGGCCGAGATCCGGGACAACTTTATCAAGAGCCTGGATGACTCGCAGTGTGGCATCACCTACAAGATGGAGAAGGTGTACTCCACCTTGAAAGAGAAGGACGTGGAGCTCTACCTGAAACTGGTGAGGGCCCCAGGAGCAGCGGGTGGCAGGGACAGGAAGCAGAGAGTTCCTGTGCCATCCCAGCCCAGGGTGAGGTCTGGCTTGAGTCTGGGGATTAAAAGTGGTCGCTGCTGCTAGGGATGCTGACCCATGAGCTAAAGCAGCTGATGGCCAGAGCCTAGCAAGCTGGGAGGGAAGGGGAATGTTGGAATGGCACCCATTGTGTGCCAGGCATAGTGCAGGGCATTTACCATCAACTAAATTGCTTAAGCTCTTAGTAATCTTCTGAGGTAAGTGTTAACTTCATTTTTTAAGATTAATATAATTTAAAAAATTGTACTGGTATTCCGTGTTTATTTCGGAAAACAAAAAGAGAACATTTATTTACACGTAAACAAAAAGTTTCATGAAAAATAAAATATATAAGCATATCTTTTTTTTCTTTCTTTTTTTTTTTTTTTTTTTGTTGTTGTTGAGAAGGACTCCCACTCTGTCAGCTCAGGCTGGAGTGCAGTGGTGCAGTCTTGGCTCACTGCAACCTTTACCTCCCAGGTTCAAGCAATTCTCATGCCTCAGCCTCCCCAGCAGCTGGGATTACAGACACACGTTACCATGCCCAGCTAGTTTTGTATTTTTAGTAGAGATAGGGTTTTTCCATGTTGGCCAGGCTGGTCTTGAATTCCTGACCTCAAGTGATCTGCTCACCTCAGCCTCCCAAAGTGCTGGGATTACAGGCATGAGCCACTGTACCCTGCCAGGAACAAACATATCTTTTTAAACAAATATGGATTGGGTGTGATGGCTCACAGTTGTAATCCTAACAGTTTGGGAGACTGATGCAGGAGGATCGCTTGAGTCCAGAGGTTGAGATATCCTGAGAAACATAGTGAAATCTTGTCTCTACAAAAAAATTTAAAAAGAAATTAGCGCCGGGCGCGGTGGCTCAAGCCTGTAATCCCAGCACTTTGGGAGGCCGAGGCGGGTGGATCACGAGGTCAAGAGATCGAGACCATCCTGGTCAACATGGTGAAACCCCGTCTCTACTAAAACTACAAAAAACTAGCTGGGCATGGTGGTGCGTGCCTGTAATCCCAGCTACTCAGGAGGCTGAGGCAGGAGAATTGCCTGAACCCGGGAGGCGGAGGTTGCGGTGAGCCGAGATCGTGCCATTGCACTCCAGCCTGGGTAACAAGAGCGAACCTCTGTCTCAAAAAAAAAAAAAAAAAAAAAAAAAGAAAGAAATTAGCAGCCAGGCATGAGGCCAAGGCGGGCGGATCATGAGGTCAGGAGTTCGAGACCAGCCTGACCAACATGGAGAAACCCTGTCTCTACTAAAAATACAAAAAAATTAGCCGGGCGTGGTGGTGCACACCTGTAATTCCAGCTACTCAAGAGGCTAAGGCAGGAGAATCACTTGAACCTGGGAGGCTGAGGTTGCGGTAAGCCGAGATCATGCCACTGCTCTCCAGACTAGGCAACAAGAGTGAAACTTCATCTCAAAAATAAAGAAAGAAATTAGCCAGGCATGGTGGCACATGCTTATAGTCTCCTACTCAGGTGGCTGAGGTGGGAGCCCTGGAGGTCAAGGCTGCAGTGAGCCATGATTGTGCCACTGTACTCCAGCCTAGGCAATATAGCGAGACCTCATCTCTTAAAAAAAAAAAAAAATGTTTTTGCTGTTTTATAGCATACTTTTTCAATTAATATTCACTGTGGCTGACCAGAGGGCTCATCTATATTGGGAATAATTGCCTGTGGAATTGTTTGTGGATTAAATGAGTGAGAGGACATATTTAACATGCTAAGCATAGCCCAGGCTTATAGTAAGGGCCCTGTGATGGTCACTCTGCACATCCACATACCCTGTCATCTGCAGAGTGTTTTGAAAGAGTTTGAACCATCCTTTATAAATCTGGAGAGCTTATTATATAAAGGTTTGGGTTTCCACCCTCTTTTACAAAAAGATCTGAGGATGTTGGCTGGCAGGAAACAGCCTCCTGCCTCTTTACCAAGTGAGGCTGTCTGGCAGCCTGGTGCCAGCCATGGTGCTCACACCTGGCGTGCTGGGTCCTGCTGTTCTGAATTCACTTCTGACCCATTGCATGGTGCTGCATGGCCACCAGCCAACATGGAGTCCTGCTCCCCACCCCCACACTCTCTCCTCAGCAAGAGCAAAACATCAAGCCCCAGTTCTTCGCCTTCCGCTGGCTGACACTACTGCTGTCCCAGGAGTTCTTGCTGCCTGATGTCATCCGCATCTGGGACTCCCTCTTCGCTGATGACAACCGCTTTGACTTCCTCCTCCTCGTCTGCTGCGCCATGCTCATGTGAGTGCAGCATGAGCTAGTCCCAGCTCACCTGGCCAGTCCTTGGAGAAGCCAGAGGGGAGGAGGGGGCGGGGCCTGCACTCACAGCATCCCAGGTCCCAGCCCTTTTGCTGCTTGCTCTTCATAGGCTGATCCGGGAGCAGTTGCTGGAAGGGGACTTCACTGTGAACATGCGGCTGCTGCAGGTAATGGAATGGGGGCAGGCCCAGCCACTGTCATGAGGCTGGCACTCGCCAGGCACCCACCCACGCCAGCTGCTGCGATAGGCTGGGCAGGGGCGATGGAGCGTAGCAGGGACCCCTGAGACAGACCTGGTTTGGATCTGGGTTTGAATCCTGGTTCTGCCTCTGACCTGGAATGTTGGGTGGACTTGAGCAAGTGACTTGGCCTCTAAACTGTGTACTTGATGTAGGTGTTCACACCCAGGACACAGCAGGTACCCGAAACATGGCCGTGCTCACCGGTGGCCCTGCTCAGACCCAGGGAAGGAGGGTAGGGTGTAGTGACTAAGAACATGGGCTCACCACGTGCAGTAGCTCATGTCTGTAATTCCAGCACATTGGGAGGCTGAAGTGGGTGGATCACCTGAGGTCAGGAGTTAGAGACCACCCTGACTAACATGGCAAAACCCCGTCTCTACTAAACATACAAAAATTAGCTGGGCATGGTGGCATGCACCTGTAATTCCCAGCTACTCGGAGGCAGGGACAGGAGAAGTGCTTCAACCCAGGAGGCGGAGGTTGTGGTGAGCCGAGATCGCGCCATTGCACTCCAGCCCGGGCGACAGAGCAAGACTCCATCTCAAAAAAATAAGAATTTGGGTTCAAGGGCCTACAGCTTTAGGTCCACAGTTTTGCTCTGCTGTGTTCATCATGTGACCCAAGGCAAGTTACAGCATCTCTGGGTCTCAGCTTCTTCATCAGCACCTGGCCTTACTGTTGTGTGTTTTTTTTTTTTTTTTTTGTGATGGAGTCTTGGTCTGTCGCCCATACTGGAGTGCAATGGTAAAACCTCTGGCAGATTTCCTGGAATAGGCGGTAAAAGAGAAAAGGGGAAAAAAAAAAAAAACCTCTGGCACTGCAACCACTACCTCTTGGCTTCAAGCAATTCTCCTGCCTCAGCCTCCCAAGTAGCTGGGATTACAGGTGTGTAATTACACCACATCCAGCCAATTTTGTTATCTTTAGTAGAGATGGGGTTTTCACCACATTGGTCAGGCCGGTGTGGAACTCCTGACCTCATGTGATCTGCCCACCGTAGCCTCCCAAAGTGCTGGGATTACAGGTGTGAGCCACCGTGCCCGGGCTCCTAGAGTTGGTTTTCTATAACTTCATGGACTAGATCTGGAAAATGGGCAGAATCACCGTAGCCACTCACAGGGCTGTAGAGGACTCCGAGCTGATACACTACCTGGCCCAGTCCCTGGCTGCACATGAAGGAGTTCGGGTTCAGTGGCAGTAGTGGGAGAGCTGAGACAGCAGGGTCTGGTCCTGAGGAAAGGGCCGAGATCCTGGGAGTGGTCGTATTTGGATCGGTTGAGTTGGTGCTGCATGGTGTAGCATCAGCTGCCAGCAGGGGTCTAGGGGTTGGGGAGTGTGGGATGCCTGGTATTCCGCGCTCCTGCCCCTGGGGCTCAGGATCCAGCATGGCGACGGGTCCCAGTGGGGAGGGTGTGGGTGTGGCGGGGGGGAGCTGGCTTCAGAGGCCATTGTTGGCCTTTCCCGTGTCCAGGATTACCCTATCACAGACGTCTGCCAGATCCTGCAGAAGGCAAAGGAGCTCCAAGACTCAAAGTAGCCCAGTGGCAAGAGGCCCATGTTTGGGGAGAGAAGCCACCGAGCCCTGTGCCCTGGCTCACGGGACACACACAAACCCGTGAGAACCCAGCCTGAGGGGAAGCCGCAGGATTGGCCTGAGACCCAGGCTGCACCCGCTGGGGGCACACTGTACTATGCTCCTTCCTCCATCACTATGCCCAGCGCCCCACCTGCCCTGCACCCTGGCCTCTTTGCCTAGGATACTGAGCAGGGCTGGAGATCGGGAAGTTGTCCTTCCTGGGCCAGGGCCGCTTCCGGCACTGGGAGGCTGGCAGGGGCCCCTCCCTGCCTCGGCTCTGCCGCCCCAGCCTTGGTTCCTGCTTCTGGTCTTCTCCTGGGTGCCAGTCAGGGGAGGTATTTGGCCAGTGGGCCAGAAACCGCTTCTGGGTAGGGCGCTTTGGCTGCTCCACAGGGAAGGCGACACCGAAAGCAGAGTCCCGCCGTCTGTCTTACCCACAGGTGTCTGTACTTGGTTGGTGTGGACATGGGCCCGAGTCCCCAGCTGTCTCCTCCCCATGTATGTGAGCGTCTCTCAGTCCTCCAGGTCTCCCGGCCTCCCCTTCTCTGTCTCTACCTCTCTGCCTGTGTCCTTCTGCCTCCTTCCTGCGTGGGGCTGTGTCTTGCTCCATGGTTCCTCTCCATTTTTCTCCCTGTCCTTCTCTGTTGGGGTGCCTTATCCTGAGCCGCCTCCTCTCCCCACATCCCTCTGCTCCCCTGAGCCTGGGAGACAGAATGAGGAGACTGATCCAGCAAGGCCCCTGGAGGTCAAGCCTGGCCTTTGCCTCATGTTCCCATCCCCCAGCCCCAGAATCCCGGGTCCCCTTGACTGGGAGGAGTCCTCCGTGCCTCACTTAGAGGGTTCTGAACTCATTCCCCATGACAGAAATCTTGGAAACCAAATGCTGCTGAGAAAGGACAAAGCTTTGAGCCTCCTGCCCCTGCTTTCTGCCCAGGGAGGGAGAAGGAAGAGGAGCTGCCCACGTTCAGAACCCAGAAGAGTTGTCATTCCCTTGCCTTCCAGATCCCAACCCAGGATGGGGGAAGGTCCCACAAAGTGCAAGTAGGGCCCGAGGAAGCCTCTCTGGGGCCAGGGTAGCTAAGCTCAAAGGCCATGGGTCCTGCCAGTTCCAGGAGGGCCATGTCTGCGCCTCTGTGTGCCCCTCCACCCACTGTGGGCTGAGGGAGGTGCAGGGCCTTCTCTGGCCCCTGCCTGAGCCTTCCCCAGGGCGGGGCATGTGTACCTTGAGCAGGGGCAGCTGGCCACTCCCAGTTCTCACCAAGTCACCTCCCTCCCTGTACAAGGTTTGTGTCCGGAAGCCAGATGCCATAGTGAGGACCCTCGTCCTCCAGACTGGCTGGCGGAGCCAGGCCCCAGCAGCCGTCCTGCCCTCAGAGCCTACTGAGTCTGGTGGGCAGGACTTCTCTCTGCCCTCCCAGGCCCGGCTGTGAGCTACGAACGGCTTCCTCAGGTGGCTCTTCTACCAGGCTTTTCCTTGGATTTCTGCACCTGCCTTTCTGTCTCCTACTCCCCTAAAGCACAGTATTTGGGAGACTATTTATTCAGACTCCTGGCTACGTATTGCACATTGGCAAGTGGCTCTGGGATGAAGGGTGGGTGTGGGAAGGTAGAAAGGAGTTGGAGACAAGATCCTCTTGATTTTCCAAGATCAAAGTCAGCCTCTTCTCCCCGTGCTTCTAGGACCTGCTTGGTTATCGAGGCAGGCTCTGAGTTCTGTACTGTAACTGAGTGTAAGGGTGGGGCGACAGCTGGGCTGACTCCAAGACCTCTACGATGAGGCAGAGACATGCTGCTTCCTGCCGGCCTGGGTCACCCTCTCCCCAGGACTTGTCAGCTGGTGATTCAGCCCCTCCTGCAACCCCTTCACAACCTTGGGCCACTGCCTGGGACCCAGCAGACACTGCCCAGGACTCCTAATGCATTTGTTCCTCTCTGCCCCCACCCTCCCTCCTGGGACCACACTACTTGAATCACCATCTAATTTGCCTTGCTGGCAGAGTTGGGTCAAGTGCCCTCTCCTTGACCTTGAGTGAAGGTCAGGAGCACAGGGACCAGGTCTTGGTTAGGCTGAGCTCCCAGCGGGACATCTGCGGAAAGGACCTGCCCTGACAATGTCCCTTCTCCAGATTCTCGAGCAGATGTCCAGGGGAGGTCCTCACAGAGCCAGAGTGCCTGAGGCTTCCTGCTTGAGAACCTGCCCCCTGGACCTTGGACACTTACAGATTGAGCTGTATGAATTCAGGAGATCTCACTCCAGAGGGTCAGAACGTTTGCTTTTGTTTTTTCATCTGTTTTGTTCTTTGAATCAGTGCTGTTGATGACGAGTTGTTCTCCAATAAATCACATGTTCTTTGCAATGGGCATTGGTGCTGTGATAAGCTGAAACTTTGGCGACCTCAGAGCAGGGGAAAGATGTTTGAAAAGGGATGGAGTCAGAGTCTGTTAGAGTGGCCCTTCTAAGAAAAAGTCCAGGAGATCTTTCTGGGAAGAGCCTGTTAGATTCTTCCAGTTGAGCCTCAGCGGTCTGCAGCTGGGAGAGGAGGGAGGGAGTACTAGGGAAGGAGGTTCTACATACATGATTACATAGCCTGTCACCTTTCAGATTTAAAAAAACTTAGACTGACCCATTATATGTGGAAAAAGCATTTGACAAAATTCAACATCTTTTCCTTTGTTTTTTTCTTTTCCGTTTTTTAATTTTTTTGAGATGGAATCTCGCTCTGTCACCCAGGCTGGAGTTCACCTCCTGGGTTCAAACAGTTCTCCCACCTCAGCCTCCTGAGTAGCTGGGATTACAGGTGTGTGCCAGCACGCCTGGCTAATTTTTGTATTTTTTAGTAGAGATGGGTTTTGCCATGTTGGACAGGCTGGTCTCTAACTCCTGGCCTCCAGTGATGTGTCCGCCTCAGCCTCCCAAAATGCTGGGATTATAGTCATGAGCCACTATGTCCAGCCACCAATTATTTTTTAGATTAAGAAAATTTGCCAGGTGTGGTGGCTCATGCCTGTAATTCCAGCACTTTGGGAGGCCAAGGTGGGCTGATCACGAGGTAAAGAGATGGAGACCAGCCTGGCCAACACAGTGAAACCCCATCTCTACTAAAAATACAAAAAAATTAGCTGGGCGTGGTGGCACGTGCCTGTGGTCCCAGCTACTCGAGAGGCTGAGATGGAAGAATCGCTTGAACCCAGGAGGCGGAGGTTGCAGTGAGTGGAGATTGCGCCACTGCACTCCAGCCTGGTGACAGAGCAAGACTCCGTCTCAAAAAAAAAAAAAAAAAGAAAATTTAAGGTCAGGCTGGGCACAGTGGCTCATGCCTGTAATCCCAGCACTTTGGGAGGCCAAAGCGGGTGGATCACAAGGTCAAGAGATCAAGACCATCCTGGCCAACATGGTGAAACCCCATCTCTACTGAAAAAATACAAAAATTAGCTGGGCATGGTGGCTCGCACCTGTAGTCCCAACTACTCAGGAGGCTGAGGCAGAAGAATTGCTTGAACCCAGGAGGTGGAGGTTGCAGTGAGCCGAGATTGCGCCACTGCACTCCAGCCCAGCGCCCGGCAACAAATTGAGTTCTGTCTCAAAAAAAAAAAAAAAAATTAAGGTCAGTTGTGGTGGCTTATGCCTTTAATCCCAGCAATTTGGGAGGCCAAGGCGGGCAGATCACCTGAGGTCAGGAGTTTGAGACCATCCTGACCAACATGGAGAAACCCCGTCTCTACTAAAAATACAAAATCAGCCTGGCATGGTGGTGCATGCCTGTAATCCCAGCTACTCGGGAGGCTGAGGCAGAATTGGTTGAACCTGGGAGGCGGAGGCTGCAGTGAGCTGAGATTTCGCCATAGCATTTTAACCTGGGCAACAAGAGTGAAATGCCGTCTCACACACACACACACACACAAACACACACACACACACAAACCAGCTTAGATCATCCCATTATCTAGAAAAAGCATTTGACAAAATTCAGCATCTTTTCATGATAAAAAAGTAGGTAAAGAAGGAATGTACTTCAACATATATGGTATATAACAATTACAGCTATATATGGCATGACCCCAACTAACATACTCAAAGATGAGAAGTTTTTCCTCTAAGATCAGGAACAAGACGAGGATGCCCACTCTCTGCTTTCGTTCAACATAGTACTGGAAGTACCAGCTAGACCAGTTAGGCAAGAGAAAGTAAAAGCATCCAAATAGGAAAGGAAGAAGTGAAATTGCCTCTGTTTGCCAACAACATGATCTTATGTTAGAAAAAACCCTAAACACCAAAAAGCTTTTAGAATTAATGAATTCAGTAAAGCGGCAAGATACAAAATCAACAAACAAAAATCAGCATTTCTGTATACTATCAAGCTATCTAAAAAATCAAGAAAAAAAGCAGAAATAAAAAACATGAATTAGAAAAAAGACAAGAAATAGGAAAAAATCTCATTCACAGTAAGTACCCCCCACCAAAAAAAAAATATTTAGGAAGAAATTTAATCAAGGAGGTAAAAGACCTGTACACTGAAAACTATAAAACACTGAAGAAAACAACATTCCTTGTTCATAGATTGGAAAAATTAATGTTAAAATGTCCATACTACCCAATATGATCTATGGATTCTATGTAATCCCTATTTTTATAGAGATTCCAATGTCATCTTACAGAGAAATAGAAAAAATTGCCCAGGCATGGTGGCTCACACCTGTAATCCCAGCACTTTGGGAAGCTGAGGCAGGCAGATCACTTGAGCTCAGAAATTTGAGACCAGCCTGGGCAACTTGGCAAAATCCTGTCGCTCCAAAAAAAAAAAAAAAAGAAAAAAGAAAAAGCTAAGTGTGTTGACACATGCTTGTAGTCCCAGCTCCAGGGAGGATGCTTTGAGCCTGAGAACCAGAAGTTGCAGTGTGCTGTGATTGCACCATTGCACTCTAGCCAGGGCAACAGAGCGACACCCCTTCTCACAAATAAACGCCACACAAACAACACAGCATAAAGCTGGAGGTACCACATTACCTGACTTCAAAATATATTAAAAAGTTTCAGAGGGGCATGGTGGCTCCACCTGTAATCCCAGCACTTTGGGAGTTCAAGGCGGGCGGATCACGAGGTCAAGAGTTGGAGACCAGCCTGAACAATATGATGAAAAAAAATACAAAAATTAGCCGAGTGTGGGGGCGCGTGCCTGTAATCTCAGCTACTCAGGAGGCTGAGGCAGGAAAATCCCTTGAACCAGGGAGGGGGAGGTTGCGGTGAGCTGAGATCGCGCCATTGCACCCCAGCCTGGGCAACAAGAGCGAAACTCCGCCACAAAACAAAACAAAACAAAACCTTCGCCAATTTGGTAGAATTGCGGGGCTTATTTTATGGTGTCATGGAGGATGGATAGCCTGGGGCTAGATATTTCTGGGGCCCTGTGGTTTGCTCTACGAGCTAGGAACTCCCTCTCCGGGCCTTGTAAAGGGTGAGACTAAGCAGTGACAATAAAAGCGCTCGACAGTGCTGGACCTTGTGGAGGTGCTTATTAAGCAGGAGGTCCTTGCACAGGCGCAGAGGAGGGGACGCCCCCAGACCTGCAGGGCACTTGGGAGGCGGGGGCGGAGCCAGATCTGACGGTGGCCAATCGCGAGCTGAGGTGAGGGTGCCACGCCCCTCAAGCCGCATATTAAATACGCAGAGAAAGGGCGCCGGGGACACCTGTCTGGGACCCGCTACTCTTCTCTGGGTTCTGAGTCCCCAGCTCTTGGGAGCGTTTGTGAGTGGAAGGGAAGTCACTCCATCGCCCGCGGTTCTAGCAGCCCGGTCCCGGCAGTGGGTCCCCCGGCGCGGCTCCTTTAAGAGCTCTTGAGTCGCCCACCGGAGGTCGCCTCTACGCCATGCGGGCGCTGCGGGCCGGCCTGACCCTGGCGCTGGGCGCGGGGCTGGGCGCGGCCGCCGAGCGCTGGCGGCGGCGGGAGGACGCGCAGGCGGCGCCGGGGCTGCTGGGTCGGTTGCCCGTGCTGCCCGTAGCGGCGGCCGCTGACTTGCCCGCCGTGCCGGGGGGACCCGCGGGCCGCGGCCCGGGCGAGCTGGCCAAGTACGGGCTGCCGGGGCTGGCGCAGCTCAAGAGCCGCGAGTCGTACGTGCTGTGCTACGACCCGCGCACCCGCGGCGCGCTCTGGGTGGTGGAGCAGCTGCGGCCCGAACGGCTCCGCGGCGACGGCGACCGCCACGCGTGCGACTTCCGCGAGGACGACTCGGTGCATGCGTACCACCGCGCCACCAACGCCGACTACCGCGGCAGCGGCTTCGACCGCGGCCACCTGGCCGCCGCCGCCAACCACCGCTGGAGCCAGAAGGCCATGGACGACACGTTCTACCTGAGCAACGTCGCGCCCCAGGTAGCGCCCCCGCCCTGGGCCGGTCGCGGAATGTGGGGCCTCGGCTTGTTCCTCTGCAGACGGGGCAGCTGCCCAAGTGCCCTCGGCCGGGGCTTGCAGTCGCACTCCGTGGCGGGAGGGAGCAGCCCTGGGCTCCCGGCAGCGGCTCTGCAGGCCGACCAGGGCTTGAGCTCCAACTGCGAACCCTGGGCACCCCGGAGCGTCGCTTTCCTCGTCTGAAAAATGGGGACAGTACCGTTCTTCACCTTCCTCCCGCGGTAGTGATGCGGCGCTGAGGCTCACAGAGGCAAAGTGACTGGCAGTGTCACACAGCAGAAGGCAGGCAGTCTGGGTAGAACCGCAGCCCCCAACCTTTTTGGCCCCAGGGTCCGGTTTCATGGAAGACAGTTTTTCCACGGCTTGGTGGGTCAGGGCAGGTTTCAGGATGATTCAAGTGCATTACATTTATCGTGCACTTTATTTCTGTTATGACTACTCTGTAATATAGAGTGAAATATACAACTCACAGTAATGTAGGATCAGTCCTGTCTGGAGGTGATGGGCGACAATGACAGATCAGGCATTAGATTTTCAAAAGGAGCGCACAACCTCCTCGCATGCGCAATTCACCATAGGGTTCCGGCTTCTTTGAGAATCTCCTGCGGCCTCTGATCTGACAGGAGGCGGAGCTCAGGCTGCCATGCCAACGATGGGGCGTGGCTGTAAATACAGGTGAAGCTTCCGCTGCTCGTCTGCTCCTCACCTGTGTGGCCCAGTTCTGGTACCAGTCTGTGGCCCAGGTGTTGGGGACCCCTGGTCTATAAAACCGTGGGCCTCCAGACATCGTCCTACACTGCCTGCCTTGGATCAGTTTCGAGGCAGACACCTGGCCCACCGTCAGGCCGTTAGTGCCAGGCACTGTGCACCTTGGGTCAGCCACCCTCTTGGCCTGTTCCCAGCAGAGCCTGGCACCAGAGGATGGAGGCTGCTGTGGGGCTCTGGGTGGAGCCCATAG